CCAACCTGGGCAACATAGTGATATCTCCTCTATACAAAAAAATTTTTAAAAAATTTAGTTGAGTGTGGTGGTGTGTGCCTGTAATCCCAGATACTCGGGAGGCTGAGGCTGCTACTTGGGAGGCTGAGGTGGAAGGATCTTCTGAGCCTAGGAGGTTGAGGCTGGGGTGAGCCGTGGCCACTGCACTCCAGCCTGGGCAACAGAGTGAGACTCCGACTCCAAAAAAAAAAAAAAAAAGTGAGTATATCGACTGCTTGCCCTTCCCAGGATTGCAAATCCATTGCCTCACTTGTTCAAAGGAAGGCAAGGCCCCATCCTCAAGTGAGGCCAGGCGTGATGGCAGTGTCTTCCATCTTAGCATTGGTTTTCACAGAAAATTCGGACCCGTATTTCCGGATTCTCTGCTGCTAGCTTTGGTGTCAGGGGCTTGGCGATCGACTCGGGGGACTCACATCCCTCCATCGGGGCATGAGGTAATTATGAGACCAATTAGAGAAGGAAATAGCCTGTACTGACTGTGCCGTGGAGATATTAAGCACGGCCTTCTGGAACAGTGACAGCAAATGTCACCTGTCATGTGCCAGATACTGTGTCAAGAGCCTTATGTATGTCTCCTATTTAATTTCCTTGGATAATTTAGAAGGCATTATTATCCCCTTTTGAAGGTGAAACTGAGGCACAGAGAGATGAAGTGACTTAGCCTAGGTCGCACAGGTGTGAGGATGCTGAAAATCTGAACGCTCGATTTTGGCACGCAATAGTCACTTTCCAGAAGGACAAATAGATGAGGAAATGGACCAGGGAAGGTTTCATGGATGAGGCAGACTTAAAACTCGAGGCTTCGAGCATTTGTGAAAAATAGAACCCAACCTGACGGAGCATTGAACAGGCAAGGGTGGTTCAGTTTGGAGAAGCCCAGGAGCTGAGACTGAGGCGGTGTGTTCTGATGTGGGATGAGGTTTCCTGAGAGGCTAAAGAGTCACAGGAGAGGTGACCTGATGTGTGGCTTCGTAGATGGGTCATCTAGATCGAGAAGGATCCCTGGTTCTCTGGATCAAGAAGGACTCTCGACTGGGTCTCTTGGACCCCACCTGGAGTAGCCTGAGACCATCTTTTGCTATCTGTGTGTGATGTCTGCCAGTGTTTTTCACCCACTCCAACCCTGATTGGCCAGATTCTCTGTGAAAATATTTAGAATCCCACAATGCACTCTTGAGGGCTGGCACCATGCTGAACCCCGGGGATGGGTAGCTTGGTCATTGTGATCTTAGGATACATGGCTAGTTAGGATAAATTATTCCTGGCTGAGAATAATGGCTCCAGAGTCGTCTGGATCTGGGTGTCTTTGGCAGTGTGGTTTACTGGAAAAAGGACAAAAGGAATCTGGGTGAGAGAGCTGAGAGATTTGGGTTGGTAATATTTTTATTTCTTAAATCAAGTCCTGCCCCGAGTACTGCAGATTCTGTAATATTTTGGCTTCTTTGGATGTTGATTATACCCAGGTAGGAGAGGGTCTAAGCCCTTTTGTAGCGTGCTGTTAATTTCAGCTGTAGTAAAAAGTGAAATCCCGAAGGGTCTCCTCTCAGCCATTTTATGGCCGTCTTGTTAGATTGCGAGATTAAAGAACTAGACCTCAATTTACAAGTGTGGATTGACATTCCATACCTGGCCCTTCTCCAAGAGCTGATCTCATTTTATCCAAAAACATTAGAAATCAAGCACGCCAAGCTTGGATTGACACAATTTAATTGGCTACATTGGTTAAGTCACAATGAACTGAGTTAAACTTCCATGGTCTGTCTAGTGCGAGTGCTCTGTGTGATAATTCTCTAAGCAGAATCTCACTTCAGTATCCAAGTTAACAACAACAACAACAACAACCTTAATCTGTTTCTTCTCAGAAGCCTCTGGTATGGGATATTTAAATTCAGGAAAGTGTCAATAGCTTTTTGGATTGCTTTCTCCCCTGCCATGGCTTGCAAAAAAGACTTTAAGAGTTTTTCCACAATATCTTTGTGTAGCTTCAGTTGTCAAATGGCGTTTTTGCTTAAATTGAAAAATATCAAATAAAGCAGCAAGCTAGGGCTTAAAAATTACAGCCTGCTTCTGCAGCTGTTGTTCAAATAAAAAACGACTTCCGCATTCGTTATACTAAATTTGTAACAGTCTACATTGCATGAAGTTGCTGGAAGTCTCCGGGGAAGAAGAAAGAGTAAGCCTAACATAGAGGGAAGCGATTAAAGTTGCAATATCCCCTTGTGTAAGTGAAAATAAAATGTAGACCTCCCTTCTGGACCCAATCTCAGAACTTACAGGGAGGAAGAATGCATTTGTAAAATTTTAATGGGAAACAAAGAGTTCGATTCTTCTGGTCCTGCTAAGCAGAACTCTTAATGGCATTCTAAGAGTCTCAATGGAGTCATACTATTGTTAAAATACAGACTTGAATGAGTTTGAAAACATGTAGAAAATGTTTCTTCCCTCTCTTTTTAAAAAAATAATTTTAGAGATTTAATATGTATTTGCCCATGTAGTATTGTGATTTTAAATTATTCAGTTTGTTTTAGTTTTCAAAACAACATGTAGGGGATTTAACAAGAGAGATAATCTCATTCCCTTGAGATAATTATTGTTAACAGCACGCACTATACATTTTTTGATTTTGCTTTAATGAAGTAACATTCGGATTAAAAGCCATAATGTGCTTTAAAATTTGTGCTCTCAGGTGCTTTACAAAAATATTCTAAGCGACAGTCGTTAGGAAGGATAGACTTTGTACTTTCTAAAATAGAGAAATGAAAATATGTATTGTTCCCACTGCCTCCCCGAAAAAACAAAACAAAAATAGACATCCTGATTGTCCTGGGTCTTAATTTTTGTCTTTGTTGAATTTCATCTTGTGCCTGTTATTAGGGTCTTAAGGATGAGAAAGGAAGTTACTAAACACATGAGCACAGCAATTCTGTTTCTTGTCTGTTCGTTCAATGCCTGTCTCCTCGTCTAGTTAAACATAGCATCTGTGAGAAAGAAGTTTTTGTTGTCCTTCAAGGAGAATGCAGGCTGTCCCTTGCTCAGGAGCAATATTGGGTAAGGCCCTTCCTTGACATCACATACTTGTTCGAAGGTTGAAATTCTTCAAGCTGATGATTTATTTCATCTTAAGATGCTGAGATTAGCTGGGCGTGGTAGCGCGCGCCTGTAGTTCCAGCTACTTGGAAGGCTGAGGCAGTTCCAGCTACTTGGAAGGCTGAGGCGGAAGGATCGCCAGAGCCCAGCAGGTCGAGGCTGCGGTGGCCGGGAGCGGCCACTGCACTCCAGTCTGGGCGACAGAGTGAGACTCCAACTCAAAAAGAAAAAAAAGATGCTGAGAAAAAAACTGGGTATACAAAGAAAAACTGGGTATCCAAAGGCTGTGAGGCTGATTTTTGGTGTGGAAGGACTTCCTTGCCTTTCTCAGTAGACAGATTGAGAATGGGGACTGGTAAGAAGCACATGTGGCCGCCTACCCTCTCAAAGACACTGAGAGGACACAGGGTGATCTGAAAGGTGATCTGAAAAGACAGACCAGTGCCCTGGCAGACCCCACTGGTCTTCGAGGGGCTGGAACCACTGCCTTTCCACAGAAGGTGTGGTTTGGAGAAGGCATCCTAAGAGGCCCTTGGCTTGGTCTGTGTGTGGTCCCCAGGGCAAAACCTGAGCAGGAGACAACCCAGAACGCCATAGAAAATATGTTCCTCTACTGAGAGGGAGAGTAGAAGGGTCTATCTTGCTTAACTTGTAGATATGACATGACTTCATTTAAAAATGAGACCAGACAAGATGGCTCATGCCTGTAATTCCAGCATTTTGGGAGGTCGAGTTGAGAGGATTGCTTGAGCCTAAGCATTTAAGACCAGCCTGGGCAACATAGTGAGATCCCGTCTCTGCAAAAAAATTAAAAAAATTAGTCAGGTGTGGTGGCACTCCTGTAGTCTTAGGTATCAGGAGGCTGGCATGGGTGGATAGCTTGAACACAGGAGGTTGAAGCTGTGGCGAGCCATGATTGTGCCACTGTGCTCCAGCCTGGGAGACAGAGTGAGACCCCGACTCAAAAACTATATATATATTTTATTATTATTATTATTTTTTTTTTTTTCGAGTTGGAGTCTCACTCTGTCACCCAGGCTGGAGTGCAGCTGCACACTCATGGCCACCCCAGCGTCAACCTGCTGGGCTCCGGGGATCCTTCGGCCTCAGCCGGAACTATAGGTGTGTGCTACCACGCCCAGCTAATTTTTGATTTATTATAGAGATGAGGTCTCACCAAGTTGCCCAGACTGCTCTCGAACCTGTGGGCTCAGGCAATCTGCTCACCTCGGCCTCCCAAAGTACTGAGATTACAGGCTTGAGCCACCGTGCCCAGCCTATATATATGGGAAGTATTGATGAGAAGTAGGAATATTATTAATGCAAACACACTTTTTAAAAAACCCAATTCAGGTTTATTTTGAAAATGGGGATTGCTTTGAACTTTTGGCAGGAAAAGTGATTCCTTCAAGATCTTCCTTTGAAGCCTGTTGTGAGAGTTGGCTACTTTTTTTTAAAGGAAAGAAGGGACCCTGATGCTCCAGTATGCACATTTATGCCGATTTAGAACCACTTTTCAGTTCCTTTTGTCTTGCTAAAGTGTTTGCTGTTATTTTAGGTCATCTAAAGACTCATCCTAATGTTATACAAGGATAAAGAAAAATCCACAGAAAGTTGATAAATATTTATTTTAACCTTTAGTTATAGAGACATGCCCAACCAGTTCTATTCATGCTGTCTGCAAGAATCAACACGCGTTTAAACTTCTTTCTCCTTACTCTCCCTCTGGCCCCGTTCCTCTGTTTGAACTGATAGGCTTAACATGGCAAGCAGACAGGCATAAGGAGGGAGGTTGGATTTAAATAACGTCTGAAAACAGGTGCGCTCACGGGAGGAATAAGAAATTCACACGTGTTGTCTCTTTTCTGTTCCAGGGTATTCCTGCCGACTGGTGTCCCAGAATATGGCCCTCATCTTATTGAAGGAGGATTCTCTGGATGTAAGTCATTTTTCAAATGTTGTATTTGCTTCAGCTGTGTTGAACTCTTTATTTGTTTCTGCTGTGATTGATAACCAGGGCTCATGATTTGCTAAGAAAAAAAATCATAAAATGTTTACTTTCCATTTTTACTTATGAACGGATGTCAGAAAGCCTTATCTTTAAACATCAAACAGTTAAACTTGGAATATTGCCTCATCAGCACCTAGAACTGTGCATTTTAAATGGGATAGTTTTAATCTGGTTTGGCTTTAATCATTATATATGAAGTATTAACAGAGCCTATTGTGATTGCATTAAGTGGTGTTGGTTAACTCCAGTGTAGGACAACCTATCGGATTTTCTTTCTAGTACAAGCCTTAAAATAAAGCCAATACGCAAGTGTTAGGAGTTGTTTACATTGATATAGTAATGCAGTACACATGCACTAACATCCCAATGCCACCAGCTCCTGGAGACTTGAGTAATATCATTCTCTGAGTATTTTGTAAACCTGCACCCATCCCATTGTGGCCAAAAGCCACTGATGAGACCAGCCGCAGGAGCTGATTTGAATATCACCAGCAACCTGTGAAGTAGGTTGATATGAAAATAAGAGCTGAACGAGGAACTCCGATGTCAGGACTTTTAACAAGGGCCTCGTTGCTGGCAGGCACCCCTAGCCACCCTTCCTGGCAGTATATTTAAATGCCAGCACTAGGCAGATGACAAGTTTCATTATATTTTTAAAGGGAGGAGGTACAGCCTAGAGGTTTCCATACTTGCAAATTGGGAAGGCCATAAATCTTACTGTGAGCACCAAGATACTGTCTGCCCCTTCACAAGACCAAGGGCAGGAGTCAGGGGAAGAGCTGGAAGTTCTGTTTCCAAGACATCACTGGCAAGACACCACCCTCTGGCGTAATGCTTCAGGGCTCATCTCAGTGCGTCTCTTCCCCTTTCTCACACTTAGAACAAGCCCAGAATCCCAAGTTACGCCTCATCTCCTGCAGTCTAATTTGTTCATACTCTGGGGTGCTTTGGAAACCTTCCCTCTACCCAAGAGTCCCAGGCTTCCCAGCATTCCCTGTCCTTCTTGTCTTACTTTTTCCCCTGTAGAACTTTCCATCATTGAAAATACTATGTGTGTGTGTTTCTGTGTGGAAACTGTGGTGAAATCTACCTTTTAAGTGTGCAATTCAGTGGCATTAAGTACATTCATATTGTGCAACCGTCACCGCTATCCATCCACAGAACTCTTTTGTTTTTCCAAATGGAAACTTTGCCCCCATTAAACAACTCGCCGTTTCCACCTCCTCCCAGTCCCTGGCAGTCATTCTCTTGTCTATCTCTATGAATTTGACAGCTGTGGGTAGCTCATGTGAGTGGGATCATACAGTATTTGTGATTTTTATGACAGGCTTATTTCACTTAGCATAATATTTTCAAGGTTCGTTCATGTTGAAGCATGTGACAGAAGTTCCTTCCTTTTTAAGACTGAGTAATATTCTGTGGTATGCCAGTACCACATTTTGTCAATCCATCATCCATCCATCAATGGACACTTGAGTGGCTTCCAATTTTTAGCCATTGTGAATAGTGCTGCTGTGAAAATGGGTATACAAATATCTCTTCGAGACCCTACTTTCAACTTTTTGGGGTTTATACCCAGAGATGATGTTGCTGGAACATATGGTAATTTCATGTTTAACCTTTTGAGGAGCTGCCATGCTGTTTTGCACAGGAACTGCAACGATTCATACCCCCACCGGCAGTGGACAAGATTTCTAATTTCTTGCCAAAGCTTTTTTTTTCCCAATTTTTTTTTGTTTGCTTTTTCAGTTGGAGTCTCACTCTGTCACCCAGGCTGGAGTGCAGTGGCACTTTGGTAATCAATCCTTCAGCCTCAGCCTTCCAAGTAGCTGAAACTACAGGCACGCACTACCACGCTCAACTTATTTTTTGATTTATTGTAGAGACAAGGTCTCACCAAGTTGCCCAGGCTGGTCTCAAACCCCTAGGTTCAGGCAATCCTCTAGCCTCAGCCTCCCAAAGTGCTGGGATTATAGGTAGAGCCACCGTGCCCGGTCTGTTTTTTGTTTTTGTTTTTAATAATAGCCATCCTGATGGGTTTGAGAATGGTATCTCATTGGGGTTTTGATGTGTATTTCCCTAATGATTATTGACATTGAGCATTTTTATATTTGCTTATTGGCCATTTGTAGATTTTCTTTGGAGCAATGTCTATTCAGGTCCTTTGCCCATTTATCAATCAGCTTTTGTTTTTTTTTCTTGCTGTTGTGAAATAATTTATATTTTGTTGTCTCCCTATAGTCCCTTAGATTTTTAAGGTCCATGAAAAAAATCTGACTTTTTTTTGTTGTTTGTTTATATTGAGCATCGCCACTTTTAAGAACAGTGCTTTGCACATATTAGGTACTCAGTAAATGAATGCATGAATGAACACACTTAAGATAATTTCTTAGTTATCGGTAAGAACCTCTTTTTAAAAGTCATGCTGATGAGGCAGTGGCTAGGTAGCCAAGATGGAACCAAGTGCAAGTTGATGTTACTTGGAGGTAGAAACTGAGTATGCCAAAATGGCACATTGGTAGAGAAGAGATTCCCAGAACCCTTGACTGAGTCCACACAGCCTGTGAGGATAGCCAGAGTGTCTGTATCTGAGGCACCCTTGTTTCCTGATGGTTTTCCAATCCCAAGGTATCCACAACCTTAAAAAAAAAAAAAAGACCTCCTTTTTCCGGAGGTAATTCAGAAATGAGCATATATTTTCCCTTGATACTAGGTATTCTCTGGAGTCTAAGAACTGGACTCTAACTTTACGTAGCACAATATGATTTGCAGCACAGATTGAGACTTCTGGTTTACCTAGACTGAGGAGTGATTCGTGATGCCAAATTGAGAAGGTTTTCTGGGTGTGTGCCTGACTTCCCCTTCTCTGTTAAAAATGATTCTTCCTTAACCAATTTTGAACTTCATCTGTAGTATAACAATTTCTGTGTGTGCAGTATCTGCTGAGCAGAGGTGCAACATAGCATGATATACTTTTTTGGTTCAATACTCAAAGGGGTACTTCCTGTTTCTGACTGATGTCTTTCTGACTAATGTCTTCTTTTTCTTCTCCCTGCTGCTCCTTGCTCATTCTTTAGTCAGGTGAAAGGCATTTCTAGCTTCATTAAAATTTCATTTGGTAGGTGTGGAATAAAAGCAGAATCCTGGGGCAATAAATTAGATATACAGTAACTCTCTAATGGAATGTCCGAGTTGAGCATTTAAGGCCTCAGGACTCAGATGGTTAAACAAACAAGGCAGGGACAAAGTAAGTGACTCACGAATGGAAGCATTGGGTCTGATTTCCCTTACTTCATCTCTCATATAAGTGGGGAAGCAAGGGGCTTATCTCCGAGACCCAGATGGATTCCAAGTGTCCTTCACTTGCTCAGTAAATATGTCCAGGCTTGGACATCACTTGCCATAAACAATTAGGGTTTGTGTCTGTGTTTTGAGTTTTTCAGTTGCTGCCAAAATAACATCTAAGCTCTGTAACATAGATGAGATCAGCGGTTTTGAAACAAGGTGAGTAGATGGTGTGTACCCCAAGTGGGTACTAGATGATATATTACCACGCAGGGGGGAAATGTTGTGATTTCTTTTCTTAGGTTAAAAAAAAGTATGAAGAAATTAACTTTATTGATAATACATGTAGCTTTCCATGGGCACCCCAGTCCTTACTCCTGGCACACTGACTAGGAGTGGGTCTGGGACAAATTGGAAGGAGGAGGGAAGTGTGGAGTTCCAAGTGAGAAGGGTTGTCCCTGGGGCTCACAGCCTCTTATTTGCTTGTAGCTCATTGTGAAATATTGCCATTTGTGTGTACTGATTAAGTGGATTTATGGACGAGTGATAGCTCATTCTGGTTTTAATTTCCTGATGACTGATCATGTGGAGTGTCTTTTCTTGTGCTTATCGGTATTTTTAAGTCTTCCTTTGTTGAAGTCTCTTTCAAACTTTGGCCCATTTTTGAAATTGGGTTTTAAATATTTTTTAAAGTATTGAATTCTGGGAGTTCTGTACATAATCTGGATATAAGCCATGTTTCAGAATGTATATTGCAAATATTTTCTGCCAGTCTTTCTCTTGCCTATCCATTTTTTTTAACCTGTGTTAGGAAAGATAGACCTTAGGATGACCTTAGAATTCTTGCCTCCTGATGTCTACGTATTTGCCTGATTTCTTCCCCTTGAGTACGTGTGAAGCCTGAGACTTACTTTTGACTAGCTGAATACAGCAAAGGTGATGAATGTCACTTCCTTGATTATGTTGCATTATATAAGCCTCCATCTTAGCAGACTGGAGTAAGAGTTTTCTCCATTGAAGACTTTAAGAAATAAGCTGCCTAACTGTGAGAAGGCTGTGTGGCAAGAAACTAGAGACAGGAGCTCAGAGTGGCCCTTGCCTGCAGTTAGCAAAAAAATGAACACCTCAGTCCTACAATCACAAGGAGCTGAATCCTGCCAACAACCTGAGGAAGGTTGGGAGAAGGTTCTTCCCCAGCCAAGCCTTCAAGTGAGACCCCAGCATGACCAATAGCTTTTTATATCCTTGTGAGGAGGTCCTGAGCAGCAGATTCAACTAAGCTGTGCCTGGACTCTCAATCCACAGAAACAGATAAACGTGCATGATGTTCTAAGCAGCCAAGTTTGTGTTAATGGGTTCCATAGCAATAGAATACGAATGCAAATATTTTTTGAAGAGCATAGGTGTTTTTATTTTGTTGAAGTCTAATTTCTTTTTCAGTTTCTTCTTATTTTTTTATTTATTTGGTTTGACTAGAACCTTGGTGGTCTAAGATATATATACTTTAGGACTGGAAGATTTCCTCCCATGTTTTCCTCCAGGAGTTTTATAGTTTTAGCTTATAAATTTAAGTCTGTGATTTGTTTTTGTGCATGATATGGGGTAAGGCTTGTGGTCCAGTTTATATCCCATATAGATATCTA